TTGCAATTCCTCATAGCTTCCCACTCTCTCAGAAAATCCAGTCTCCTCAGGTGGCCCCGAATAAGGCTCCCTGTGACCCAGCCCTGCCTGTCTCTCCACGCCAGCCCTCCTTCAGTCCCTCTGTCCCACCCAAGGACCTGCCCTTCCTTTTTCAGAGATGCTGCCGTTCCACTCTCAGTTCACACGTTCGCCCCTCGGAGGGGCCTGCCCACACCCCCATCCAAAGCAGCACCCCACAGCCCTCAGGTCCAGGCCCTAGGCATTTTCTTCAGAGTACCATTACGAGCACAATTATGTACTTATTTTGGGATTTTTTCTATTACTTTGTTAAGTCTCTGCTTCTAGACTTAGGAACCATTAGCCTTGGCTATTTTTTTGTTTTGTTTGTTTGTTTTTCACCACAGTACAACCTGAGCTTTCCAGACAGCCTGAACATAGTATATGATCAATAAATACACATGGAGTGAGTGAATGATAGACCCGACCACAGATCTTCACTGGTTTTTACTGCCTGCAGAATACAGGTCTAAATTCCTGAGATTGGCATTCGAAGCCTTCGCTGGTCTGTTTCCAGCAGCTACTGCGGCCTCCGCTTTCGCTCTGTGCTCCAGCTCCCAGGGCCCCGGGGCCCTTCTCTGTCTCATTTCCGACTCGTGGTCGCGTGCTGGCTGCACTCTGTGCTTCTGCTGATGCTCGTCTCTCTTCCTCCCCCTTTTCAGAGTCGTCTTTGTCCTTCAAATCTTTGTCACATGCCCACTCTCATGAGCCTTTCACAGTTCCTCCCTTCAGAATTCCATCTCCTTCTACACGTCCACAGAACTTAGCGTGTGAATTTATGACCGCACTCAAGAGAGGAGAAGACACAGGCACGGTGTAAAAAGGCGTTCAGGCTCTATGCTCACTCTGTCACTTCCAAGCTGTGAGCCTCGGGGTTAATTGTGCAAACTCTCCTTTTCCCAATTTCCTCTTCTGTAAAATCTGTATTGACTAGTGCTCTGACCCCACAGGGTTGTGGTGCCGATGGCCATAGTAACCACACTGCACGGTGCATGGGGTGAGCTCTAAAAAAATAATAGTGGCTTCTGTGAAGGTGACAGTGCACCGGCCTGCTTGGCAATGTGGTTAATTGGGACATGTTAGTCTCCTCCTCTACGCTGTAAACTGTATTTGTCTAACTCTTCTTTCTCTAACCCCAATCCCTGTCTCTCTTCGTAGCAGTATACACACAGGAGAAGCCCAGCATGTTTGAATGAATGAATGAGTGAGCAGTGAATGTCCAAACGCTCATCGCCCATTGACGGTCTCAGGATGTAGGAGCCTGGAGCTGCTGACAGCCACGCTCTCGTTCAAAACAGCCCTGGGCAGAAGTCACCGAGTCAGGCTGGCTTCAGAAAACCCCAGCCAAACCCTCTTGCTTCGCCAATTCAGGGTCCTGACCCCACTTGCCCTCGCTTCTGCCGTCTGCGAGAAGCAGGCCAGCTAGCTGCCTAAGAGCCTGAGGAGGAGTCGTTCCAACTTACAGGCCAGTCTGGGGTTTCTGTTGGCTGTGAAGAACCGGGAGCTTTCGCTCCAACTTTTTTTCCTCTCCTAATTCTGCAATATGTTGGAAAGGGTTCCAGCCGAGAGAGTTATTGCCTTCTCCTGGCCTGGATCTTAAATCTTTGTTCAAAGACAGCTTGTTTTAATTGAAAATGTTCAATCTATCTCTCCCCTCCTCTCACCCGCGTCCCATGTCTCGACTCAGGCAGGGCCACTGCAGTAAATAATCAGGAGTGAGGCTCACAGGGTTTGAGGAACATGGAATATGGTCGGAGGGGGAGAGGGAGAGAGGGTTGTCCCCGCCAACCCCCCCCCCCCTTAAAACCTCGTCTTTTAAACGGAGTTTGTCTCAAATGATCAACACCGCACAGTGGGCCTTTAAGTGGAACAGCCTGACTTCTTTGCCTTCAGAGCTCAAGAGGACTGACAGCAAGGAGACCTCCTGGGGTTGCTCCAAGTCTGCCCCGGGCTGCAGGCTGGGGAGGGCGGGTTCAGGCCTCCCTCTCCCCCGCACATTCACTTCTTCAGTCCGCAGCATATGTGGGTCACGCACTTCCTCATGAAGCAGGCGTTATTATTTACGTTTTACAGGTGAGGAAACTGAGGCTCAGGGAGATGGGCTGGCTTATGCAAAGCCCCACGGGTGTTCTAGTTCTTTTCTGCTGCATAACACATCTCCCCCAAACTTAGTGTTTAAAACAATGGTTATTCTCTCGTGTTTCCCAGGGGGCAGAAATTTGGGACAGGCTCAGCGGGGTGCATCTAGCTGGCAGCCTTCGAGGTTGCAGCGTCAGACAGTGGCTGGAGCTGGCAGAGCGGATGGAGCACTGGAGGAGCTATGGGCTTGCCAGGAATCTCTTTGGTAGTCTCGTCACGGAGCTCAGGGCTTCTCCCTGCAGCCCCTCCTGGGCTGGTTTGGGCTTCCTCACAGCCTGGGACTCAGGGTCGTCAGGCTGCTTGCATGCAGGTTCCGGACTCCATGTGGAACATTCCAGCAAGCAAGGTGCAAGTTGCATCACTGTCTGACCCCGCCTCAGAAGCCCCACGGTGTCACTGCTGCCGCTTCTGCCATTCTTTTGGTTACAAGTGAGTCACAAGCCCACCCAGATTCAAAGGGAGGGGACACAGGCCACACTTTTCAATGGAAGGAGTGTCAAGGTCATGTCACAGAATAACATGTGAGATGAGAGAGATTGTTGCTGACACCATTGGAAAATAGAGTCCATCGTACACAGCATGTGGTGGAGGCGGCAACTGGACTAGATGCGTCTGACCCCAAACTTCCACTGCCACTTTTCTTCCCAGGCAGCAGGGACCTCTCCTTTCCTCCGGCCCCACAGCTCTTACTGTGGGCACACACTATGGTTTGGGCTCCCCAAGCCCACAGAGCCAGGATGGGTTACAGCATCCAGCAAGACTGCCTCCAGGGTTTGCTGTCAGACATGCCGTGCCCGGTGCTAGCTTGTGAACTCTTTAAGGAAGGGCACAGAGAAGGTCGGTCACGCCCGGAGGAAGAAGGCAGGTGGCAGACCTGAGCCCGGCGAGCCTGTGGCGCGTCTCACGGTCATAAACAACTCGTCTGGTGTTTTTCCATCTCCCACCGGGGCTGGCCTAGGATGACTCAGCGCTGTACAGAAGAGGTGCCTTCAAGCTGGGAACCAGCCCTGGCTGGGGAAGAGCACGGTTCTGGAGTCAGACAGGCTGACTCTGCCGTTGCCAGTTATGTGGCCTTGGACAAGTTCCTTGACCTCTCAGAGCACAAGCGGGGAACCTGCCTTCCTCCTGGGTTGTTTAGAATGCGCCACGAAGCAGAGCACCAGTGACCAGTGACGTGCCGGGTGCGTGGAGGGTGCCCCACAAATGCTGGCTTTCACGTCCTGAGCCAGGTCCAACCCCAGCCTGGGGACTTCTTGAAGAAGGTGGCAAGACCTCACTTGACTGATCCACAGACACTAGTCCAGCTCCGTAACCCTGGATGGCGTGGTGGCCGAGACTTACTCAGCGAAGTGACAACTAAACCGAGTTGTCTGGAGGCTGAGGGGGCATCGGCACTGTAAGGCAGGTGGAAGGAGGGAGAGTGGTCCAGGAAGATGGGCTGGTGTGGGAAAGCCCTGGAAGCAGCAGTCAGCATCCTGGAGTGTGAAGGGCCAGCGGGTAGAAGGCAGGAGGCAGCAAGTACAAAGCCGGGAAAATAATCAGGGACCAAGTGTGAAGGACCTTGTGAGTCAGGTTCCAAATGTGAACTTTAAAGGCAACTGGGCGCCCCTGGAGGGTTTTTACTCATTTGGGTGACATGGTCAGATGTGCACGTGGTCAGATCTACGTTTTAGAGCAACCGCCTGGCTATGCTGTAGAAGACGGAGCAGAGGCAGGGCTCCTGGGGCAGGGAGGCCATCAGGCCGGCTGATGGTGATCCAGGGGAAAGACGGTGCTGGCCTTTTCCAGGAGGACAGCAGGGGACTGGAGAGAAGTGGACAAACTCAAGAGATAGGAGGTCCCATGGATAAGAGTTGGTGACAGTTTGGCTGTTCAGAGTTGAGGAATACAAGATAAGAGATAAGTGCTTTGAAGGAATTCAGTTCAGAAGCCATGGGAGAATGGGGCGAGGGCAGCAATCATAGGCCTGGGGAGAGGAGTATCATGGAAGGCTTTACTAAAGAGATGTCACCTGATTGGAGAAGTGATGGGGAACAATGAGCCAGGGGAAAGGGAGGAAGCACTTCAGGTAAATGAAATAGCTCATGTGACGGCCCAGAGATGTGAGATATGATATACAGAGCAGGTACTCTGTGTTGTTGAACAGATGATTGTTGTACTAATTCATACTAAAGTGTTAATGGGCAATATGGAATTGTCCCATTCCCCTTCCCTGGGGAGTTTGTACTTTAGCAGGTCATGAATCCTTACCCTAAGGATTCATTATTGGTAAATTTCAAGGTGGAATGGGGACTCTGTTTAGGGTGAGAAGGTTTTACCATTGTCCCCAAGGTTACCAAAGTAGGTGATGGTCCCTGAGGGTCAAGCAGGCCCTGGTCTATATATAACAAAGGATCTCTCTCCCTTGGGTCTCGCTTATCTGCCTCCACCCTGAACCACCTGTAGCCAGACCACGGGAGCCCAGGGATTCCCAAAGGGATGTGGTATATTCTGAAAGCTGTGACACAGGCTTTAGGGGACGACTTCCTACACCCACATCCTGGCTCCTCTCTTTCCCAGTTCTGTGACCTTGGGCAAATTATTTAACTTCCCTGCACCTCAGTTTCCTCATCTGTAAAATGAGGAAAATAATAGTATCTAGCATGTAAGATTTTGTGAAAATCGGAAAAGACAGTACCTACAAAAAGCTTAGAGCGGTGAGTTGTTTCACTGTTTTCATTACTGCGATCATTTTTATTACCAGTCCTCTTTTCACTCTGTCTCAGTCTCTTTTCCAAGTTGCTCCTTAACGCACACGCTTGCAGATATGAAGCTGGGGCGGAACGTGGCGAGAACGTTTTTGGATTATTATCGGCTGAACCCCATGGTGGAGAAAGTGGCAATTCCCATGCCGAGGCTGCGGTAAGTGGCCGAGCAGGGCCGCAGGGGCTTGAGTCCTGCTTAACTGGCTTTGTGCTCAGGGACAACGTCCCTTAGCCTCCCTCTGGCCTCAGTTTCCCATCTGTGGCACAGGAAAAATAATCCCGGCCCTGCCACAGAGAGCGTGTGGGGCAACAGAGCTCAACAGCCTATTTCCTGAGCAGAAAGTATCGTTATGAGGTCAGACAGCGAGGCGGTGGCCACGTGTCTGGGTCTGACATGGGGATCCATAGGGATGGGAGCTGCCCGGGAGCTGATTCCAATCATTGTTCTAGGTTAGTCTGGCTGCTTCCAGAGGCCACTGCATCTGAGAGCTCATCCTCTAGGATTCCTCTGTCATCTAGGCGTGTAGGTTTCTCATCCTTCTATTTCCTCATCTGTAAAATGGGGCAAGGGAGCTCACTTAGAAGATTATTATGAGAGGTTTGTGAAAGCCCCCTGCCCAGTGCCAGGCATACGTATGTCCCCTTAGTACACGACATCCCCCTCTCTCAAGACTCGGAGTATCAGGAATGAGGAGGACACACCCCTGAGAAGTTTCACTTCAGGTCCTCTGTTGGGCCAACTTCTTGGGCCATGAGGAGAGAGGTCAGGAGATGAGGACCCTTCCTGAGGGCTGGGCCAGAGCCCAAAGCACTGGGTGCTCCCAAGCCTGCTGGCGGCGAGCCCAGCAAGCATTCAGGCAGTGACATCCAATAGCATTTGGAAGGTGCTGGCCCTGCCCTACCTCTTAGCCTCATGTCCTACTCCCCTAGTGGTCCAGCCTCCTTGAAGGACATGACAAGGTCCAACTTACTGCTCCTGCCAGACCAGTCTTCCCAGTGACCTTGAGGGTGACCTTGCCCGTGTGTTTTTCTCCCTCAGGGCCTTTGCACGGATGCCCCTTCCTCCCTACCCTGTTATTAACAAAAGCAATGTCAATCATTGTCATTTTCTGAGCAAAGTCCTTTTTGTACATAGTCTTATCTATTCCTCATAGATATTATATTCCCCATGTTTCAAATGAGGAAAAAGAGGCTCAGAAAAGTGAAGAGAATTGCCTGAGGTCAAAAGATTTTGGCAGAGGCAGGATTTGATCCTAGGCTTTTATGATTCCTAAGCTAGACTGAGATCCAACCCAGCTCCTCCTCTAGAGGGCAGCCTTTCCCACCATCAGTGTGGGTTCAAAGTCTGTCGCAGGCTCGTGCTAGCTGTGGGATCTTAGGCAAATTTCTTGGCCTCTTGAAACCTTCTTTACCTACCTTTAAAGTGGGGATCATAACAACAACCTCTAAAAATGGTTAAAGATTAGAGGCGAGCTCAGTACAGTGCCTGGCAGCCAGTAGGTGCTCAATAAATGTTTCTGGCTTCTGGGTTGCTGTGCCATCGTGTCCAGCTCATCCGACCAGCTCATCGTGTCTCCGACAAGTCCCTGGACTTCTCTGGTTGGGCTGGATGGTCTCTCAGGGCCCACATCCCACCATGTTCCCCCTAGTCCCACCATGCTGTGAATCCCACGTCTCTGAGACTCCACGTAGAGCCTACATTTAGACAATGTATCTGACTCATGTCCTGTCTCAGATTGTTCACCAGCCCTCTGGGGTCATTGTGCCCCCTCATCCTGGTGGATTGGCAGCTCCATCAGGGGGATCCCATCTGTTTCCTCTCTGGGCTCCCACAGAGCAGCCTAGACTGTGCTGAGCAAGCAGGCATCTATACATTTGTTCATTCACTTAGGAAAAACAGCACTTTATGCCAGGCCCCTGGGGGAAGGAGGAGCTATCGCGGCATGACCCTGCCTTTGAGGAGCTCACCCCTGGACGAAAGTGCTCTCAGGTCATTATTAGAAGTCATTCTTGATTGGTTAAAGTTCTTAAAAATGTAAAGCTTTATAAAACTCAAAAGAATTCTTAGAATCTCGTTTCAGGTTAATTTGGGGATTGTCTCTTTCAGGTCCTCTGTCACCCTGAATAGAATTATCTTGATCCTTTACCACTTCTTTCTTGCCTGGTGCACTGTCGTAGACTGATGAAATGGTGCAGACGCGCGGGAGCCTTCCGCCGTCATCCAGGGCCCTCCTCACGGCACAGATGAGGAAGTGGAGGCCCAGGAGCCAACAAGGCTGGTCAGAGGCAGGACAAGCACCCAGGCCCCACGTCCCCAGCCTGGGGTTCTCAGCACCAGTCAGGGAAGAGTTCTTCGAGATGGGGGGAGGCAGGGACCCGAAATGGGGTCTAAAGGTGCAGGGGGTTCTCAGGGCTCTGACTGCCACTCCTCACGGGCCTCATTGCTCTGAGCTTTGGGGCTCTCTTCAGACAAGTGCTGGAGAGCTCACTCTTCGGAGTTCCCAGCCTTGAGGACTTGAGGTAAACGTACCCACTCTTAAGTTAAGAAAAACAAAATAAACCCCTCTCCACCTGCACAAACTACGATACTGCTTGGCTCTCAGTTGGTCAGCAGCTCTTGGAAAATGAATTCCCAACAGGCCACGAGGCTCTGGTTTGGGGTTTGAATACTTCCCTTTTTTGTATTATTTCCCACCCAAGCATCAAATAGCATAACTGAAAGAGCGGTTCTGGTTTTAGAGGAAAATTACATGTTTTGACTCAAAATTAATCTTTGTTTTCTCTCATCTCTGGGATTATTATAAGATGTCGGTTGCTACCCATGTGCTGGCAAGAGCCTGTCGCATCCCTGGGTTCCAGGCCACCCTTCAGAGAGGGTCCCCAGGGAGGGCTGCAGGGGGCCTGAGAGCAGAGGCTAGGGAGATGGCATTGATGGCCGGAGCTGAGGCCCCACGCTTATCTGGACCACGGTGACACAGCCACAGGGCTAAAGCTCTGTGCACATCAGTGTGGAGAAAAATTAGACAGGAAAAATGAAGGGGCCGGCCGAGGCTCTGTGAGGAGACAGAGCCTGAGTGTGGAGGGTGGGCTGGCTCTGATTGTGAGGTAGGCTCAAGTTCAGTGACAGGCTGGGAGGACCGGCTCCATGGTGGGGTTATGATGTGTGTGTGTAAGGGGGTGCTCATCAGCTACTCAACACACTGTAGCCCACCATGTGCCAGGCCCTGCACTGAGTGCTGGAGGAACATAGATAGCCCCTGCCCATCAGAAGCCCAAATTTATGGAGGAGAAAAGCATGTACACAAGCAAAGATAACAAGCAATACCAAATAGTGTATAATAAGTGCTCAACTATGAATCAGATTACACCCTCTCTCAAAAACCTTCTATGGCTCCCCATTACCATCACGATAATGCGCTAATTCCTCTTCTTGCTAGTCAAAGCCCTGGCCTCCATTTAAAATTTCATTTACAGCCTCTTAGCACACCCCTGCCCCTTGTGAGCACCCTCTCCACCCCGCCTGTTATTGGCCACTTCACTCCCCATGCTTCAGCTGAACAAGTCAGCTCTCTTCATGCCTCCATGTCTTTGTCTGTCCTTTTCCCTCTTCCTGGAATGTTCTCCTTTTTTGACTCCAGATGTGAGCTCTTATTTATCTTTCCAAGCCCAGCCCACAGGTCGCACCTCTGTTTCACTGCACCTGTTCTCCACCTGAGATAGGGCTACTTCCTCTCTGCTGGGTTCCTAACTGCGTTTGCACACACCTGTAGCGTGGTCCGTCCTGGGGTGTATTGTCAGGGCATCTTTGCCTCTCTGGCTTCTGCACTGGACAGGTTGCTCCTTGAGGAACTAACTTAGTCACTCCCGTATCCTTCATGCCCTGTGCAGGGCTTAGCATGGATTGTCCTAAATAAACTCTGAGTGTATGAATTATAAAATGGTAGAACTGAAGGAGCTCCTAAGAATCATCTACTTCAACCCCTCATGTTGTAGAAAAGAAACGTGACGCTCAACCAGAAATTGCGCTTCCACACCATCTGGCAAGCATCCAGAGGCCAGCAGGAGTACCCCAGGAAGGCTTCAGGGAGGAAGCGGGGTTGACCTTGGTTTTAAAGGACACGTGGAATTCAAACAGATGAAATAGAAAGGGGACAGAGGGTGTTCCATGTTGGGGATAGGATGCGGAAGACAGGAAGCAGGACCTAAAAAGACGCGTTCCAAGGCAATGACAAGGCAGGGATGTGTAGAGCAATCCAGATGGTAAAGATGAGACTAAAAGTTCATTTCTGCTCCTCAAACACTGCTCAGGCGCCTCCTGCAGGTGCTTCACTCAGGAATTACAGAGAAAAATCAAGTGCATGAGACTCGTAGTCTCCTGAGAGGAACAGATGGGCAAAGAAGTACTTAGAAAGTGGTGTGCTGAGGGGTGAAGCACAAAGTGCTGCGGGAGCCTCCAGAAGGGAGAGCCTTGTTTTCTGGGAAGTCGGCTTCCCAAAGGAGGCAAGTCTGGAAAGGTCAAGGAGGGCGGAGCCGGGGTAGGTGCGCCCTCCAGTGCCTCGCTCCCTCGGGGCCCATCTTTAGGACAGAGGCTCTTTGCCTTCTATGCCACCGGCCACCTGCGCAGTCACACCCCTCCCTGGCCCTGCGCATCTCCTCCCCGTGCTGCCGTCTGCTTAGGGCTGACCCACCTGTGGCCTTACCTGAGCTTGCACACCTCCCTCTACTCCCATAACAACATACCCGTCTTATTTCCCATGCTCCCTTTGGGTGTTAAGAACCACACTCATCAATGACATGTAAATGGCACCTTGTAATCTGCAGAGCTCTTCCTCAACCCCCATTTACCAGATCCTTCGAGCAGGAAGGACATGGCTCTTCTCCCTATTTTAGAAATGAAGAAATGGAGGCTCAGAGAAGGCAGGGGACTTCTTCGAGATCATTTTGCCTATAAGCAGCACTCCAAGCCCCTCAGTGAGTGAGGGCCTTTCGGGCAGCGAGGCCGCCTGGCGGGGTAGAGATGTCAGGGAAGGTGTCCCTTTTGTGTGCTGCCACTTCTTCCTTATTCCATCTCTTCCTTATTCATGACTCATCAACATGAAGGAAAATGGGTACTCCGAGGTCAGAGCACGATGGCCTACGAGAAGTGACCCTTCGTCAATTCAAGAGTCACTTCTTCAATCCTAATTCAAACAGCCCAACAGAGACCCAAATTTATGGCATTTGCCGCTTTCTGCCGTGCATTGTCGTTCTTTATTATTTTGTGTAGTTATTTTGTTCAACTCCCTCCTCTACTAAGCTGTCAGCAGCCTGAGGACAGCACCAGTGCTGACTCATCTTCGTCACCTCCAGAGTCCATTGGACTGCACCTGGCACCTAGCACCAGGCCTTTGCAAGTTACAGTAGGCGAGGGAAGACACGAGGTGCATTTACTCATGTTATCTCACTTAACCTCACAACACTCCTGCAAGACTGGAATATTTTACCCTTGTTTCACAAATGAAGCTCAGAGAAGTTAAATAACTTGCCCAAGGTCGCATCTCGTACGTAGCTGACCTGGCATTCAGTGGAGCTCTCTCTGGCTCTACAGCCCACTCTTTCCACTGCAAATGAATCTTAGTCCAATGCACGAATGAATGGCACATCGCTGTATCAGTCAGCAACATAACAAACGAGGCCCTGTACGAGAGGAACTGCGAAAATGGATAAAATGTGGTCCCTGCCCACAAGGAGTTCGTAGTCTAGTGTGTGAGCACAACAAGCAGTGGACAATTACTGAAGAGAAGTTTAAGAGTGTTGCATTGGGTGCTGGGTGCTGGGACACAGAGATGAACCAGACACATCTCTGCCTTCTGAGAGCCCAACTTGTAGGGGAGACAGACCCATCATGAAATGGATAATTCAGCTATCCTGAGGGATATAAAGGGGACTCTGGATCCCATGATGGTTATGAAGGGAATGAGGCCCCAGGCCCTCCTAAATTATACCTCTTCTATGCATCCACCTCCATCCCATCGTGAAATGGGTTGAATGAGAATCAAGGTGGAAAGGTGGGAGAGTTGTCACTGTAGGACAGTTAGGTTTTCTCCAGAACCAGAATGATACAATGTATCCCTCCATCCATCTAACTATGAATGACTATTCATTGAGCCATGGTACCTGCTTTGAACCAGGCCCTGGGCTGGGTTCCCAAAACAGAGAAGGGGAAGACCAGGCCTCTGTTCCTAGGAGGTCGAAGTCCAGTGGGGGAGATAGACATGCACACAAATGATTTCAATACAGTGTGTATATGTGCTGCCTTTCTTCTCTCTTTCTGTTATCTCCCCTTTGCAGGAAAGAAAAACCCCCTCCCTACAAGTACCCACTCCTGCGGGGCTCGGCCAGCAACTACCCCAACGGCAAAGGGGACAAGAAGAGCTCAGTGAACCACAGAGACCCTTCAAACTCTTTTTAGGGGCACGGAGTCTAGTCAGGTCTTGTGGAGGCAGGAGTGTGCATTTTCTGCTGGGGCATGAAATTAATCACCCTTCCCTAGTTTCCAAGGGTTGTGGGATAACGAATAAGCTAGTGAAGGGGAAGGAAAAAAATGAGAAATTCATCATTGATTTTCCCTTTTACCAACGGAAAATCAATTGTGAGCCTTCAGCTTAAGACTCAGGAACGAAATAGGAGATTCAGACCAGGCGAGTACAGATGCTATTTTCCACAACACAGAGATGCTCACAGAAAGAAGAAACCCTACACATCCCTTTTGAGAGGTTTGACACATCTCAGGTCAGTGCTTTCAAAGCCCCTTTACCTTTTAAAGTTGTATAGTTACTACGGATGGTTACCTTTTAGAATAGGCCATGGTTGTTTACAGTTTTAGAAATGCACTCTCTATATTTGCTGATCCCAGACAACAGCAACAACACATAAAACCCAAAGACAAATGTACTGTTGGGAACAATGGGACAGAATTTTTGAAATCAAAGTGGTCTCAGACATACACTCTATCTATGAGCTGCACGCTTCCTGCCGCCCTCAAACCCCAGCATGCAACTTCAGAAAACTGTTCTGAGAGCTATTTCCCGATGACCTGGGTAGCTGAATTGAAACAGTAGCTCCAAAGACAAAGTGTATTGGTTACTCATTCCAAAAGGTCCCTCATGGTTAAGATCTCCAGAGCCCGGTGTCAGGGATCAAGCCTGGCCACTGAATTGGTGGGCACGGATAATCTATAACCAGGGCAGGCTGACTGCCAGGTAAGAAGATGAAAACGACAAAAGGAGGCCCCTCAAGGCAGGCAGGGATGATAAAATAAAGCAACAGCAGCAGCAATTCCCAAAGTGAGGGAGCTGAACGTTGTGCATTTTTCTAAAGAGTGAAGTGCGTTCGTATGATGAATGGGTCCGGGGGAGACCGCTCCCTTCCCGCCTGTGAAGCGGCAGGCTGAGTCACCATGACAGCCTGCTAATTGAAATGACCTCCCAGAAATGAGGATTAGGAGATAGGGAGAGGAAGGCAGGCACAAGGAGAGAGGGCCGTTAGCACAAGTAGTTCCAGTAAGCATTCTTTTGCTCTGGGTTGAAGATTTTCAAAGTGTGCTGCAAAAATGGAGAGCAAAGCTTATTTTGCCTTTGCTTATTGGTTATCAGAAATGATAACAAAGAACCATATGTTAGTTGGCTACAAATTTTGCGTTGTGTATACAGTTTCTCTCCTGGGTTCTCATTGCCCAGAGGAGCACAAATAAAGTGGTTTATGCAGCTCTTCTGTTCCTCTGAGCTTTCTTGGCACCTTTCCCTTGAGGTCTCTCGCTCTCTCCAGAACCAACCAGCCAACCCAAATGTGGTGTAACCCTCACTTTGCTGTCAGGGAGTCTGTCATCAAGATAAAGAAGAACAGTCAAGACTTGACTTTCCAGCAGTTCCCGTGTCAGAGTGCTGGGGAGTTTAGTTGACTGCAGCCCGCTCAGTGTGAGCCCACCGAGTGGCAGGCCTTTCAGAAATTATAGCATGTCTTGAGTCAGCATCAGTTTGTGTAAAAGAAGAGAGATGATCGTCCAGAACTATTTTTCCCTGGTCAGATCACTTCCGTAACATTGTGACCATATTGAGGCTCCACTTTCTGAAGATTGCATTGGTTAGTTGGATCACAGGCCACACAAGCAGCAGGCATGCTGGTGGTTTAAGAGGACAAGACTGAGAGCCAGGCAACTCTGGGTTCCAATTCTGCATTCAAACCCTGGTTCTGTCTCTTAACACCTGTGTGATCTTGGGCAACTTCTTTAACCTCCCTGAATCTTAGTTTCGTCACCTATAAGGTGGTATTAGTGCTGTCTACCTCCTCACAGTGGTTACGTAGATTTACTGAAATTAGATAAGGGAAATGTCAGCAAAGATGCCCGATGAATGACAGCTATGTTATTTTGGTATGTGACCCGGATGGTAAGTTGTCTGCAAACCATTTCACACTAGAAGCAGATAAGGAGACTGGCGCTGTTCATCCCTGAGATTAAAAATAAGGGGGCGGGGTAGCAAAACAAGGTCATAATCTCTAAAATGTTGAAAGGACATCTTTGACATTCTTTTTGTCCAAAAGAAGTAAACTTGTTCTGTTTTGCCAAAAGTATGAACCAAATCCAGGGAGGTAGTCTCGGTGAGACAGATTTCAACTCAAAAATGAGGAAAACTTTCTAGTGAATGGAGTTGCCAACCATTGGATGGGCTCCCTTGGGAGACAGTGAGCTCCCCAACACCAGAGGTATGCAAGCAGAATCTGAATGAATATCTGTCATGGAGGAAATAGAGGGGATTCCTTTTCTAGGAGGATGCTGGATGCTCTGTGGCATCACCTCCTAGTCCATAACTCTGGAGAGAAATGACGTGAGGCAGGAGGGTACATTCCTGATGTCGGAGAATGGGGTGCACAGTATAAAAAGTATCATTTAACAGTAAACAAGTGACAGTAAAGGTCTCTGAATTACAGCATATGGACTGTGCTAACGTTTAGCATTCCTTAAGAGGAAAAAATACATGGCTATAAGGCAGACTGTAGGGTGTGTTTGCAATAGAACCGTCTGCTTCTCTTTGTTGGCAGAGTAGAGAAGAAAGGGCAGGCCAGGAGACCAGGGGTTGCCAGTGGACTTTTCCGTGGACTCGGCCTGCTCAGCAACTCCTCTGGCTTTCTTGGACCGGGTTATACCTATGTTCTCAAGTTAGAGGGAAGGGTTTTATCCCTGAGGTGGAGAACAGCACCAACCCAGCAGATGAACCAGCCAGAAGCTACGAGCCCACCCAGCTCCAGCAGGGGGCGCTCTAGCCTCTTCTCTCCCCTGCCCGCTTCCTCCTCAGGATGGAGCCGCAAGTGGGTAGAACCAGCTACCAAACCAGCGTTCTGAGGAGAGCGAGAGACGACTATGCAAAAATGAAGGGGGGAAGGGGGAGGGATGCTCTGGGCCTCTGCCTGGCTCTCACACAACTCTCCATAAGCAGTGCCAGTTTTGCTCAGCATCAGTCCAGAGGCTCAGAGACAGGACTAACGGTCTGTTTACCCTCAAAAGTTGTGAAGGACAAGCTGGAGGCCACCCAGATTCTTTGTGCTGATGCCCAGAGCAGAGGCGGGGTCTTTGCAGCAGCAGGGGGAGCTTTCCCGACTGCCTTTGAATGCGGGGAGGGGCACGGGGTGAGCTTTATCCTTTCCCTGTAATTCAGTAACACACCCGAGACTTGCCTGAGAGCACCCCAACTCGTTTCCTAAGCAGTAAGAGCAGTGCCAACCCTGGAAGTCTAGAGTGACCAACATTGGTTGAGCATCAATTCATACATTTACAAATATTTATGGAACGTTTGCTGTGTGCCAGGCATTGTGCTCGATGCCTTTGCATCCGTTGCCTTATTTGATATTCCCAGCAGTTCCTTGAGGTGAGTATCATTTTCTCCATTTCCCAGATGAGAAAATTGAGACCCGTAGAGGTAAAATCCTTTGTTCACGTTTGTATGGCTAGTGAGAACCTGGATTCAAACCCAGCTCCCTTTCCACTGATCTACACTGGGCCCTCTCCATTTGTCTCCAGGTAAAATCAGGTCAAAAACAGGATACAGGTGAAAGCAGAATAACAAGTAAACAATGGCATCACTTAGAGGTAGTGGGGGGTCGGGGGGAGGAGAAGGGAGCGTGTAAGTTTCCAGGTTGGCGTATGTGTAAGGATTGCAGGACTTTCTAGCACCTGCTGCTGAAACCCTGCCTTCTTCCCAGCTCTCATTGCCACGCACCTGTCTGAGTCCCTGCTGGGCACTCCAGCAGGGTAGGCATGGGGCAAGGAGCCCATTTATCACTTGACACGCAGAGGCTTCTAGATCAGCCAGGTAGTCATCGCAGGGCCCATCTTGACCCCTCTGGGTTTCTGACCCCAGGCAGGTGATCTAGTCCAGGTTCCATATCCCGCCCTCCTTCTGGAGTGTGTGAGTGAGCCCACTGTGCCTCACAGTTCTTGTTCAGTATTCGTCCTCTGAGCCCCGCCTCCTGAGCACTTTGAGGGCACAAAGCTTAGAGGTCCTCTCCCTTGTGACTCAGCCCAGCCAAGGGACCACCACGTCAGGTGGAATAGGGGGACATTATAACGTAATAGGAATAGCCTGGCTTTAAAAAGTCAAACAAACCAGAAACACCAGCTCTTCTGTTAACTAGCTGTATGGCTCTGGGCAGAGTTTAACCTCTCTAAGCCTCAGGATCTTCATCTATAAAATGAGAACAATAATACCTACCTCCCACAGTTGTTGTGAGGATTAAATATAATAACATCTACGTCTAGCATAGTGCTGAGTTAATGTTGTGTAGTGCACTGAAACACTTGTCAAGAGGGCAGATCTCATGGTAAGTGTTCTCGTAACAACACAAACAAAGACAAAATAAAAGGGAAACACAAGGAAACTTGGAGGTGATGGCTGTGTCTGTTACCTTGATTATGGTGACAGTTTCACAGGCATTTGCAAATGTGCAAACTCATCAGATTGTATACACTAATACGTGCAGTTTTTGTATATCAATTATTCCTCCATTAACGCTGTTCAAAAAAATATAACAACATCTAGGGAATACCTGGCAGAGAGTAGAACTCTTTCCCCAAACCACCCCAACCCCTGCTCACCTCTCACCTGCTTGCTAGGGTTAGAATTCCCTTTTCTTGAAGCAAAGGCTTTTTCACTCTCAGATGAAGTACAGACAGAAGTACATCCCCTTACTGACTAGAGGACAGGAGTGAGAGAAGTGTCCAGAAAAACGACAGTCACACTGAGAGACGGGTGTCAGGGCAGGGAGCTAGGTCTTATTCATCATCGTGGCCTCAGCACTTAACACAGATCATGTGGCAGAGTGTGTGCTCAGTGAGTGTGGAGTGAACAATTGTGTGTGTGTGGGCAGGGGGGGCGTAGTCCAAAAGCCCTGGACCCTTGAGGGAGAGGAAAGAGGCTTTGCAAATTGGGGCTCTGAACAGGTGGGAAGGTGGTGCTGGACACGGTGTGCGCCACGCCCTAACTGAGGCAGAAATGACAAAACTAAAGAGAGAAGGGGGTATAGATTCTCCAAGACACTGTGTTTTATTAAAACAACACAAAAATCTTAGGATTTATGAGGTGCCCTTCCTATGTCATTTTTGGTTGGCATGCGACTTCTCAGGGGTCGTCTCTATGAAGTTTTCACGGCCATACACCCTGCCGCTGAAACTCAGGGCCTCCCTGGGGCACGCTCATCTCTGTCAGCTCTCCCTACTCTCCCTGGACTCAGGGGCAGGCTGGACAGGGCTTATTGTCTCCCTTTTGCAGATGAGGAAACAGAGATCGGTGCACTTCAGTCCCCTGCCCGCGGTCCACAGCTGGTGGGTAACTGGGACAGGACCTAGGCACAAACGCGACTCTGCTGCACCCCACTGCATCTTGGTTCAACCCCAAACCTCAGCGCTCAGCCTCCTCAATTCAGAAAGTCACTGCTATGATGCCTCATATGGCTCCTAATGCTTAAAAGTTGCTTGACCCCCAAAGACCTGGGATCTATTTTTGTCTGACCCCATGTCAATCTTTACTCCACATCTGCTGCTTTCCCTGGCATCAGCTGTCTTTGTTGATGTCTTCTTTTTCCACCTGGTTGCCGAGGCTGGAAAACTTCCTCTTGTCACAATGCCCTCCTCTCCCTCCCCCCACACAGCCAGCCAGTCACCATGGCCCCTTCCTTCTGCCTTGGTGATATGTCTGTCTTCAAGCAGTTTAATGGACTGGCTTTGAAGTCAGATGGACCAGAGTTTCAATCTAGGCTCCAGCACTTGCTATTTTTCTCTTGTGAATCATGTAAAGCAGAGTTTACTTTCCTCATCTTTAAAGTGAGGAGATAATATTTACTGGAAGAATTGTTGTGCATCTTCCTTCCTCTGCCTTTTCCAATCTCTCCCTTCTATTCACTCCCCTCATCGTCTCCTACCTGGACTGCTGTAATGGCCCCTCATTGGCCTCCTGCCTCCAGATGCTCTCCTGCTAACCCACTCTCTCTCTCTCTCTAGAGGAGCTTCCAGGATCTCTGTAAAACAGGACCCCACGTTTATGGCACCTCTTTCAAATTTTGTGAGCAGGAGCCTGGATATCATTCCACTTCTGTACCCTTCACACCTCCCTTCTGATCAGCTGCCACTTCCCGCTGGTTCTGCCTGCTCAGCGTCTCTCATATCCGTCTACCATCTCTACTCTTCTTACCTAAGAAAATCCTTCTTTTAGTCAAG